ACCCCTAAGTAAAATATTTGTCACGAACACGTGAAATAAGATAAAAAGCTAGCTGAAACACTGTAGGCAGCGATATGCATTGCGCATGCTCATGAATACTATGACCCACATGGCTTATCGTCTGATTTCTCTTTTTAGGACGTGCACAACGCGAGCACTAAAATCCAGAATTTAAACTGGGACATCGAAACACAGGTATGATTAAAATAAAGAAATTTGCAGAAAATGTTTACCTGGATTCCACTCGTTTGGATTTTTCAGGTTCTTTCTTATACAGTACCTAGACTGCGGGAAAAAAATTTAGATTCTTATATGTTTAAACTGTGTAATTTGTGTTTTATAGACGGTTAGGTTAAAGAGAAAGTCAGACAAATACTTGCAGGAAAAGTACCCAGATCAATACCAAATAATAAGACAGCGATATGAAGAAAGAAAACCAAAAAGTCCATTCACAAAACGAGGTAAGGAAAAACAATCTATACTCCATTTTATAGATTCACGCCATCTTGAAAGGTAGCCGAGCCTTTGTATCAAAGCGAGGCAGGAGTTGACCCTGGGGTGATGTGAGATATACCTTTTGTTCATACCTAAGAGAATTATTCACAGGAACACTTTAAATAACATTTTAAAATTTGTTTCTGTTTTTCTACCCAGAGATACTAAATGAAGCTCCAAAGGTATGTAACACAAGACATTACATGTACACAACAGAATTCGCACTTTTTGAGCCATTTTAACCATCAGTTTCCACGTTAATCCTCTTAGATTTCGTCAAAAGAAAGGCCCTTCGAGCTCACAGAAGTCAAATATTCTCCAAGAAAGCGAAACCCTACAAGAGACACAATTTACACRGCSCTCAAATCACGWTTGGAAGAAAAAGACACACTTCTAGACTTCGGAGACGTTTCTGTGCCAYACTCGCCCTTTTCTGAATTCTTATCTAAACAATTACAGCGAAAAAGAGATCAMAAAATGCACCAAWCTTCTCACGATGGACCACGAACTCTGAAGGTGGAGAACCTGGGYACTCTTCCTGGTGAAGAAGACCTCAGAAGCAAAGAACTCCACAGTGATGGAGAAGTACTCGATTTGTTGGAGAAATTCCAAGAAGCCGACTTTGTAGCKACAGGACGCAAGTTTTTTGGCGATAAAGATGGTTCTTGGAAAAATACGACTCTTGTATGAGTGCTTTGGATTGATAAAGATTTTCGTTGTATAGATTTTATCGGCTGGATATATAAGTATTTATTCTATGGATAGCGCAATTCACCCTTCGTTCAACCGGCTCCCGAACTGCACTAAACACATATTTCACGAATATAACTGCGGTCTGGCAAACGCGAAGCATTAAAAGATGCCAACAGGCAAGAAAACTGTAAAATAAACTCCTTCACGGTTCCCTGCGCCATAATGAAAGCTAGTAGCCGTACCTATCGAAGCGAGAGGACCATTGCTCGCTCTTGTGATGATAAAAACCTTCTTTGACACCTAGAGGCAATTATTTACTGGTGCCATGATTGCACGCTCAACCTTCTCAATTAGATGCAAAGGCAGATCTAGCCGGCTTTTGACGAGATGGCGCAGGAAAACCCGTAAAGGGATCTATTGTAGACATTCAGATATGTCAGTCATACCAGCGTGCAAAAGAAGCCATGTGGTCAAGTACAAAAGTTAATGCATTTTTGGAATGTATTTTGTCATTTATTTATCTTCACGATCATTTGTTGCTGTGTCATTCTTTCTCTACACCTGCAATTGATGAATAAAGATTCAAGAAATTAAAGGCGTGTGTCTTATATAAAACGTAACACGAGATTCCTTGCGAAATTTTCCATGGATTCCGAAATCAAAGCGCTTCTAAATCCAGGAACGCTGCGAATTCTGTGTCATGCGGCGAGCCTTATTACAGTTCCCCTGCCAGAGTAATAATATTATAATAGTTACTTGGTTCTTACCTGATACGTCAGCAACATTCAACATGAAGAGCTTTAGCCTTTCGCAGCTATTTCTATTCATAAACAAACATACATGCATCAAATCATTATCAGACACGTAGCGTCCTTTACGCATATACGCAACTAGTGCGTACTTGTGGCAAGGAAATATTAACATTTTCGTGATATGATGCCTTTTAATATGCTCTCGATGCCCCTCAAAACGTTGGAAATCGCATTTATGTCCAGAGTTATTATTTCAAAATTGCCTGGAGAAGCACCCCTTGATACTCGCGGTCCCTGGTATGTGCGTACTAGCCAAAAAGTCCACGCTACACGCCTGATTATCTGGGAAATTCGTCAATGCGGCTGTGTTTTTGATTTTTCAAATATGGAAAATAAGCTGCAACATTGGATAGCTGTATTCATTCTTTCTCATCTGTACTTTTTATACTTACGTTTTACGATTCGTAGTATCTGGTTGGTATTTCCTATTTAAGCAATATGAAATCATGTATTAATTGATGAATTGAACAAGACGCCCAGTACAATTACAATATATAGTCCTAAGCGCCATCNTATATCATCAAGAAAGAAAATGCGGAACGTTCTAAAGGTCTTGTGTTCCGTTGAATTCCAGCAAATATCTGCCTGGTTTGTAAACCTCTTATGTTAAGAATTTAGCAAAAGGTTTGTGCCTTCGTGTTTATCCGAATACTAATAATGTCTGTCTAATACAAGAACTGTACTACCTAATTTTCCTGTGATGATTTGGAAAACAACAACGACAATTGAACAGCTTGGTGACAGCCGTCATATTACATCGAACATCGGTTTATTCGGCCCCCGGGTGGGGGACTCCCTAATATCAAAGGGCGGGGGTCCTCGGCGGAGATTGTGAAAATGACCCCTAAAAGGGACCTCTATTGTGATATGATGGGCGTGGTAGTGCTGAAATTTCAACCCTAAAAGGGACCAATCAATAACAGATCATTTTGTTTTGGTTTACCGATTATATTTGTGTTTTTACACAATCATAGAACACCGTCGGCTCGTATTGAGTTTATGACGACGTTGCCATTTTATGACTGCTTAGGGTCACCGTATACCCTAAAAGGGACCACAAAACACAGTTGGTAGGAATTCTTGTCATTAACACCCTAAGCGGGACCAAAATACTGATTTCAAACCCTAAAAGGGACGCCGAGGACCCCCGCCCTTTGATATTAGGGAGTCCCCCCCCCCCGGGATTCGGCCGCAATCCAGCACTTAGCACCCGTCCCCAGCTAGCCCCCTCAAATAATAAATCCACTGAAGAATGATTATGCAAACCTTGTATCGTTTGCTAACTCCCGAGCTGCTCTGATTGGCTCGCTGTTCCCTAAGGATTTTGGTGACTTCATATATTAGCATAGAACTTCACCGAATAGACTAATCCGATTAGATATTAGATATCTATAAGTGTCCTCATAGTACGATGGTCTAAGAGGGTAGCTAAAGGTATGCTCTAGTGGGCGGCTACCCCCTCACTCCCTGGCCTTTCGGTTAAGACTAAGTTTTATGTTCACTCGGGATAGCGTGGAAGAGCCGAAATCTCTAACCGTAACGTAAGCCGATTCGCCGCCTCAGCTTCATAGAATGTCTCGGGGGAATCGTCCCACCTTTTTAGTTTTTTATTTTCATTATTTCTTATGTATTCCGGGGGGTGCATCTTCTCCTAAAGTGAACGTTCTGAGTTCGAGTCCTGCTTCTGGAATTATCTCTTTTTTTCGCTTGTTTATTGTTTCTTTTTCGTTTGTTTCTTGTTTTTTTTCTTCTTCTTGTTTTTTCTTTTCTTTTTTTTTCTTTGCTGTTGTTACTTCGTTTGTTTTTCTCTAGAGATTTTCTCTTTTCAACTTAAACATATCAAGGACTCGCAAAGAACGCCTGCTACAAGTGGATGGTTACGGTTCGGTCAAAACGATGACATAGTGACGAGAGGCCCCATAAGGCCTTTCGTCAGCAAAACCGTCTGGGGATCATTTGCAAGGGGAAACGGTCACAAGAAAACTACTGTGTTGAATTGTACGGTACAAATTAAATTAAAGCGAATTTAGTATGAGTTGGAAACGGACGGTACTCTACTTTAACCGTAATCGTACTGTAAGCAAATTCTAGTGTCTCATTTTACAAAAATTGTGCAGGCCAGGTCCGGTAACTGTGCGGTAACCGTGCGGTAATTTCTACCGTACGTTTCCCACTCATACGAAATTGACTCTAATCGTTTAAGTAGACAACACTACTTTTCACAGGTAGTTTTTGACTGATGGAGGAAAACCAGCGTTGCTGAAAAGGAGAATTAAGAATACGTTGTAGCTTATCCAGTTGAACACCAGATATACCATATAGAAGAGAGTTACAATTATCAAGTCTTAAAGTTACAAAGGCATGGACATCGCTTTGGACTGAGTAGCGTATTTTATGCGGGAAGACTCTGTTTGGCGGCTGAGCTGTGGTGTGTGGACGAAGTCGGTCACATTTTGGTATCAGAAGTGCATTGTAACTCAGTACGGCAGTGACCACGTAATGTGAGAGTGCAACATTTGTGCGTAAAAGGAGAGCGTAAAGTTACCACGTAAAGTGAAGAAGACTATTGCTCCATTGTATTGTTCCACAGAGCTTAGCATTTGCATCAAAGTGTTGAGCCTGCGGTGTTAGATACCTTTTGTTCGTCTAAGACAATTAGAGTGCACGCCACATAAGCATGAAACAATTCTTAACTAATTAGCGCCTAATAAGATTTAGTTATCAACTAACAAAGAATTGAGTGAGGCATAAACAAAGACAATTTTTCTGGCATTGCGTTCTTGTCGCAGTGAATTTTTAGTTAGTTGATAACTAAATCTTATTAGATGTTGATAGTTAAGAATTGTTTCACGATTTTTTGGCCTGCACTCTATTCACAAGAACACTTTTAATAACATTTTAAAATTGGCTTCTGTTTTTCTACCCAGAGATGCTCGAGGAAGCTCCAAAGGTATGTAACACAAGACATTACATGTACACAACTGAATTCGCACATTTTGAGCCATTTTAACCATCGGTTTCCACTTCAATCCTCTTAGATTTCGTCAAACGAAAAGCCCGGCTTCGAGATAACAGAAGTCAAATATTCTCCAAGAAAGCGAAACCCTACAAGAGACACAATTTACACGGCCCTCAAATCACGATTGGAAGAAAAAGACACACTTCTAGACTTCGGAGACGTTTCTGTGCCAYACTCGCCCTTTTCTGAATTCTTATCTAAACAATTACAGCGAAAAAGAGATMAMAAAATGCACCAAWCTTCTCACGATGGACCASGAACTCTGAAGGTGGAGAACCTGGGCACTCTTCCTGGTGAAGAAGACCTCAGAAGCAAAGAACTCCACAGTGATGGAGAAGTACTCGATTTGTTGGAGAAATTCCAAGAAGCCGACTTTGTAGCGACAGGACGCAAGTTTTTTGGCGATGAAGATGGTTCTTAGAAAAATACGACTCTTGTATGATTGCTTTAAAATATCAAAAGCGAACGAACTTTAGTTGGTGGGTTAAATAACATGCACTAGGGCCGGTTGTGCGAAGGATTGATAAAGATTTTCGTTGTATAATAGATTTTATCGGCTGGATAAGTATTTATTCTATGGAGAGCGCAATTCACCCTTCGTTCTGAACTGCACTTAACACATCTTCCACGAATATAACTGCGGTCTGGCAAACGCGAAGCATTAAAATATACCAACAGGCAAGAAACCTGTAAAATAAACTCCTTCACGTTTCCCTGCGCCATAATGAAAGCTATTAGCCATTTGGATCGAAGCGAGAGGAGCATTGCTCGATGTTGTGATGATAGAAACCTTTGACACCTACAGAGAATTATTTGCTGGTGCCATGATTGCGCGCTCAAACGTCTCAATTCGATGCAAAGGCAGGTTTAACCGGCTTCGACAAGATGGCGCAGGAAAAACCGTGAAGGTATCTATTGTAGACTTAATAAATAAATAAGGTTCAGCCGTGGTTTATACTCTCATAAACCACACTTTTTAGGCCAATCAGAGCGCGCATTAGAATTCAACTATATAATTCAGATATGTCAGTCATACCAGTGTGCAAAAGAAGCCATGTGATCAAGTACAAAAGTTAATGTATTTTTGGAAGGTATTTTGTCATTTATTTATCTTCACGAT